TCATTTCGAGATAAATAGCGATCATATTGCTATTGAACTACTGAGATCATTGGCAAATTCAAAAAAGACTAACTTTAAGTTTTCTTTATGCAACTTATATTTGATCCATGTTGATCAAAATAAATATGGATCAATTTTAGGATAGTTAACTACGAAATTTTCCAATCATACTTCAACTTATTCTCTTTGTTTTCAGAGGAAATAAGATGATGCGATGAATGAATAACTCTTAGCATTATAGAATTCCGGGATTTTGTGTTTAGTTTTACAGATTCGTATGAGTGGCAAAATGACGACAGATTATATCAACCATGAATATATTTTATCATAATTGAATTCAGAAATTTCTCAGTCAGCACGACACGATCCACAACATTTTGGAGTAGATGTTGATAATGTTAATAATAAATTAGTCTCAGCATCATTTAACACACATATTTTTAATTTAAGCTTCTGAAATCCGACACAATTAGTGAACAAACAAGAAGATAATTGCATTCTAAAATTTTTATTTTTATTTTCCGAACCGAATTCATGTCAATATGAGTAATGGTGATATTTTTATTGAATTAATCGGACCATTTTTAAATTCAATAAACTTTGAACTCAACTATTCTCTCTATAATTTATGTTTGATGAATGTTGATAAAATAAAAAATGAATAACTTTCAGGATGATTCGATTCAGATAGTTTCGAAGCATCTATGCCAAGGTTGAATTCGTTAGAAGTGGAATGATCATGACATAAATATGGAATAAGTTTCACAATTGTAGATTTCAGAAATTATTGACTTATTATTCAAATAGCAAATAGAGTCCAATATGAGTGACAAAATTTTCGACTTTTAAGAAAACTGAATTCAGTATGATATCAATCATAAGAAGATCACTAATGAATAAATCTTAATATTAATCAATTCAAAAATGCTCCCTTTTTATTCAAAGAGTGCAATTTATGTTACGATTAATGTGGATGATACCAATGATGCAGAAGTGTTACGATGATTCAATTCAAAAATTTCTGATTTTGCTTTGTAAAATCAAATTTCATCTTCAGACAATTGCTAATGATGTCAGTAGTGTAGATGTCTGAGCATTATGCCATTAAGATATTTTCAAAGCACTGTCTCAATGTCAGGTTTATTCAGAGATAAATGATGATGATACAAATCATGGATTCATCTGAAGAGGATTCAATTCAACAATGATTACTTCATCTTTTAAAAAAAGGAATACATTTCACTATGAATGATGATCACAACAACGGTGATTTACGTTCATCATCGTTCTATTCAAACATGTTACAACTCTTCTTTGAAAACCGAACTACTTATGAGACAAAGACGGATCGTTTAAGTTTTGAATAAATCTGACGACAAATCAGTTCAAAAAATTTCGATTGTTCTTTCCTAAATTCAATTTAATTCGGCATAAATGGTGATAATATGAACAGTAATTAAATCTCATTATTAGTCACTCAAAAATTTCGGATTCATTTAGAGACTAATAAGAACTAGATCACTGACGAATAAATCTGACCATCATTGGATTCAAAAATGTTTGATTGTTCTTTCTAAAACCTAATTCAAATTCAGATTAATAATGATGATGACAATGATGAAAAGTCTGATTATAATTCCATCCGACAAATTTTGATTTATTCTAATAAAACTGAGTTTATGTACAAACGACTGTTGATAATATCAATGAAGAATAAGTCTAAAGATCATTCAATTCAATAATTTGGCTATTTGTTTTCCACAATGGAATTCTATTTGAGGTGAGTGATGAAGATAGAGATATCGATAGAGCTCAATCATAATTCCATTCAAAAATTTATATAATTCTCTTTTGAAAATCGAATCCGTGTTTAGATGAATGGAGATAATATGAATGATGATTAAACTCCATCACTATTCAGTTCGAAAATTACCGATTCATCGTGTTAAAATCGAATTCATTTTGATATCCATGATAAGAGAGCTGAAATTTTTATCGTATATATATCTAATAAAGATCTTTTATTTCTGAAAGTTTCAGCTCTCTAGCTAAAACTACTGGTGAAATATCAATTTTTGAACTCGATTTTTGCAATAAGTTCACAATAAAAATATGCGAAAATCAACTAAGAAAATGTATGTACTTCAGCAATAGGTTTAGCTACAGAGCTGAAACTTTCAGAAATAAAACATCTCTATTAAACATGTATGCGATAAAAATTTCAGCCGTCTATGTGAAGAAAAAGTATGAAAAATGTCATTAATAATTTATTATTAGTTGTTATGGGATATCCTTTATATGTGTGAGATGTTCCTAAAAAATAATGTGGTTCTCCACATTGTATATGTCCCAAACCGTTTTAATTGTTACCTTAGACCGTTTTTGACGACGATACGTCTAGCTAGATTATTAGAACTGAAAAAAAAATGTTTTTTTTTCCACAAAAGTGGCAGAAACCGCACGGATTCACCCCTTAATGTTTTTTTTTTCTGGCTTTCATGCATTTTAGCTTATTTTAAGCGTATATGAATGCATCTTGCTTGTTTTTTGAGAAAAAATCTCCTGCAAAGTTTTTCGGGGTAGCACATATTTCTATCAAAATGTAGGTTAGAGAGTTCTGTGGGTGTTAGTGAATACAACTTAGGGTGTTTGTGCGGACTATAAGTGAGATTTGGGTGTTATTGTTGAAGGGGGTCATTTTTTCTAAAAGTCGGACAAAGTGGGTGTTAGTGGTGTTAACATAAATTAGTAATACCCCAAAAAATCTTGTGTCCCTCAGGGCGGGATTTGCCAATGATTGCGAAATATCGGGCACAAGCAGCCATATAGGAGGCCCTATCCAGTGGAACAACGCCTTTTGATGTGCGTTGGTAATTAAATCCCAGTTTTTTCATCCAACACCATAGTGTTGTTAGCGAAGAAACTGCAAATGTTGGGTCGCTTGCTAGGATACGATGAAGAACTTTATCAATGGTTGGATATATCCTCTCTGCTAATGTTAGGTGTACGTGATACCTAAAAGATCAATGTGGATATCAATTGAATTGTTGATGGAGCTTGACTCACTGGATATTTTCCTGTTGTTTTTCAGAGAGAATGATAGCAGGCCCAGGTCAAAGACGTACGACGGGAAACGGCAGGAAAACACCGGAAATCGGAAGCAGTATTCCGGTCGAAAGTTTTCCGGATGTTTTTCCGGTGAATTCCCGCCAAATCTCTCTGCTTTCCGGCAGGAACCGACCCGAAAATCATTGGAAAAAAATCCGAAAATTTCCGGCCGGAATACTGCTTCCGATTCCCGCGATTTCCCGTGTTTTCCTGCAGGATACGGTGATTTTTCCCGCATTTTCCTGCCGGTTCCCGCAGTATCCGTTCTCCGGAATCATTGACCTGGGGACGACCTGAATGATCATATTTACGTGGGGTTCGAGGAATAGGCATGATGGACTTCGTGATGATGTTAGTATCAGTAGATGTTGTTGCATCAATTGATAATCGAGAATGTCGAAACCGAGAGGTCATCTGAAACATTTCAATTTCTTTGTTTTTCTTCGCTTCTACCATGATCTTCTGTTCTTCAATCTTTTGACAGATGCCGAAGAAATGTCAAGCATAGATTGAAGGCGATCATTGACATTGTTTAGTGGAAGAACAGGACCGTTCTTTTCACTTTCAACGAATTTGATCATATCGAACATTATTTGCTTTGACTATTGAGAGAATACGCAATCCTTCGGCATATTGATTTGTATGATAGCTATTTTCAAACAAAGACAATGGCCAGGGTAGTAAAGATCAACTAAGCCTACACCCAGACATACAGTACTTACCTACAGCCGTACCCTGTCACACCACTTCCTATCAGACACCGATACTCACAGCTACAGCTAAAACCACTCCTAGACCCTCACTCCGACAGTGAAAACCGCAGCTCTCTATCATGCTCCTATCAAAATTTATTCAGAAAATATCAACAAGATTGTTTTTTCTGCATAGGCGTTAGTATAATCACAATAAAGGAATAGTAAGATTAGCATAAGAGGGTTGCGTAGGGAAGCCGTAGTTCTGTAAAGAGCAAAATAAAATAAAAAGAGACAATAATAGTTTTGCATGAAATACATTCAATAAAATAAGTAGGTGCACATCTATAGGTTACAAGAAGAGTGCAATTATTAAAACAAAATATAAGTGTGAAATGTTGATGAAAATGAAAACAAACTCGAATGTATCAATAGAATGTTTTAAAAAAGATTTTTTTTTATAGTATGAAGAAAAGAAATGTAAAATTGAAACGATTGTCTATCTCAATAGATCATTTGAGTAAGCTATTGATAAAGTCAATGTAGTAATACAAACATAGAGTTTACGGTTTTTCTAGGTTCATATCGAGTATGTCTTTTAATACACTTCTCTGATATTGTTCACTTTTCCCTCTGATTCGAATCAACTGTCTAATTAATCTAGGTAATTCCCAAATCCTGTGAACGTTATCTGCAATACTTTCATGGATGATCGAATGAAGTCGACTTTGAAGATCGATTCTGTGATTATTTTCTGTTTCTGGTAAGATTTTTTGGTTTCGATCAGTTAATTTAGACTCTAATTTTTGAGTCATAAAACCATTCACTATCAAATTTCTATATTCAAGTTCATTATAAATTTCCTCAGATATTGTTTTGCTTTGATGAAGACAATATTTGTCAACAAAAGCGACACATTTTTTTATTACATTACTTTCTTCTGTATTAAAACGACAATCTCCATTAAATAATCGAATAATCGTTATAATATTATTGATTTCTTCGTTTCTTAATTCAATAGCATTTTTAGAAATCATGGTGGGACCATTCACATCATCAATGTGCATGATGCTTGCTTTAGGATCTTTCCTTTCATAACACAATGCAATAAGATTTTTAGCCTCATACATAGAAATTATAATAAAACATACTTCAGTATCTGTTCTATGAATTAATATCATGTTAACCGGTTTCAAATAATCAAATCGTTTTGATAAAATTTTCTGTTGCAAAGACTTGACTGTGCCATTTTGAATTTTTCAAATTATCAAAATCGGTAAAGTCAAAGCACTTTCTTAATTCTTTTAGTTTTGGATAACCATCTTCTCCTCGTAATCCACTCATTTTTAAATTTTGTTCAAAGATCGTATTAAAATTCCATGCAGTTTCGGGTACCGGTTTTTTTTCTTTTAGAAGAATAGTTTGTGCACGTTGCATTTCTTCAACCTGTTTTTCATTTTCTTGTTCGCCATCATAATCAGCATCAATAGCTAATACTCGCCTTGGAAGTTTATGATCTATTTTTTTTGAGAATTCTTTTCATTTTTGGCCTATCTTCATGAATCCGATTTTCTTCAATCTCATTAATCAGTTCTAAAGATTGCCCTTTCTCTTTTAGTTCACGTTCTAAAGTTAAGAAAAATTTACTTAAATAGTTGCTCATATGAATATTTAAAAGATCTCTTGGATCACTTTTCTAAGGAGTAATACCATATAGCTTTTTTATTTGATCTAAACTTTTGTTTTCATATGCAATTCTGAGAGAATCGATAGGAATTTCTATTTTCTTCTGATATTTTAGTGCTCTATTTTTTATCACGTACTTCAATTTCTCTTTTACTACAGGATATAAATCATTTTCATTCTTTTTAATTGTATTATAAGTAACCCATGTTAAAACATGTTTGCTTGTGATGTCATTTAATTGAATTCCATTTATCATTGCAAGTTCTGCTGAAATTTCTTTCGAACCCCATAACACAATCGATTGTTTAAAATCGAGATCTCGAAGACGCATAACTGCTTGCATAAGTTTATCTTTTTTCATGTTTTTTCCAAGTGTTACAATGCCATGTGCAGTTAATGGTAGTTTTAGATCAGTTCCACGAGTATGAAGCTCGTCCAAATAAACAAATAATTTTTTATTATCAATATGACACGTTGATAACGGAAAAGATTCCTCATTTCTTAAAATAACCATTATTTTATTACTTTCATCGGAAAAATAGACGATTCCAGAAAATCGTTCGTCGATTCTTTCAATTAAATATTTCGATACGTTAAAATTACTCATTTCTGTAATAAGAGCGCCTGCATCAATCAAAACATAACAATTCTGATTTTTCTTTGCATATTCACAAAATTTTTCTAAAAGTTCCTTAGTATTACATATTTCCATGTTTGATGTGCATCAACTATTTATTTCTCGTGATAAAATATGCAACATCTTGCCATTGGTTCCACTTTGAGATGATAACCGTTCTGGCACTACTGATTCCGGCATCGTATCATTACGATCATCAGTACCAGAAAATCCTTTTGTTTCTCCTTCACCTGCTAATGTGTGAGCATTTCCGGTAAGTTTTTTTTTGTAATGTTTAATATTCTGAAAAGTGAAATTACTTAAATAATATTCGATAAAGTTAAAGTTTCGAGAAAGATAAAGATGAACTTTTTCAATTCTATTATCATCTTCAAGATCAAGAGTTTTAAAAGATTTTAACCATTCCGGAAATTCTTCTTTTTCTTCAATTATTTCATCAATCCACTTTTTATTTTCTTGAACCCATTTTTGTAATACACTATCTCTATTCTGTTTAGGATCATTTTTTAAGTTAAGCAGTCCGCGTTTTACTTGTTCGAAATTTAATCCTCGATACAAATAACTAAGGATCGTAAAACCAATCATAATATCAGAATGGCTAAACTCTGATTTTTCGGACGGTAAATTTTTACCTCGAAATGGAATAGCGATTTCTTTTTCTCTCCTATCAGATAATCCATGTTCAACTCTATAACGATAACTCATGACATGATAAAGTATATCATGATGTAACCAAGCTTTAGCTAATAAAAAACTATTTAACATATCTTCACTTTTTAATTTCAGTAATTCAGTTATCTTATCTTCCTTCGATGAGCATTGCCCTTGAATAAAATCTTCATAACTTCCATAACTTTCATTTGCGTCATCAATTATGTCAGTTGTTTTTTGACGATACTTTGAGAGTAATAATTTACAAAGCTTTCGACTAAGATCTGGCACAATATTTTTCATAAANCTTATTAAGAAAATTTTTATTCATTGAGAATCAACACTGGATACCTGATTAATTAATATGAATAACATCTTTGAAAACGGGAAAAAAATTTTTTGACTTTTGGACCCTGGAGGGGGGTACAGGGATATCGAAAAAATTGATTTTTCAAATAAACACCAGATATTCATAGATTCTTACAGAGCTCCATATATAAATCAAACCTGGATACTTGGAATCAAATTTTGTAAAGGAATTAATGAAAATACAGACTTTCCTGTTACAAGTCCATCCCTGTACCCCCCTCCAGGGTCCAAAAGTCAAAAAATTTTTTTCCCGTTTTCAAAGATGTTATTCATATTAATTAATCAGGTATCCAGTGTTGATTCTCAATGAATAAAAATTTTCTTAATAAGTGTTCAATATTGTTGAAAAATCGTCGGCATATTAACTCCTTGTTATAGAAAAATAGGCCTTTTTAGAGGATAATTTTACTCCGTGACGATCGGGCCGTACTGCTCCAGAAGAATTTATCTATGAAACATATAGAGCTCTATAGTGTGCAGTTTTTGAGAAAATTTCACGTTGGTACCGCATACCTCTGTGGTACAGCATCTCACACACTGGAATACCTTACAATCAATAAATAGCCTAGTCCTATGAAAAGTGGTCATTTTTTTGTGTGAAGAAAGCAACGAGGAAAACTAAGGAATATAGAAAATTGAAGAGTACCTAAAACTGTATTGAGATGAGTTTTAAAAAGAATTTCTATAGGTTTATCTTAAAACATTCTGACGATCATAGTGTCACTGACTACCATTAATTTCCCTCAAGGATTATAACTAGTGTGGTTACCCTCAGGACATCAAAGTACGAAGAAAACTTGTTTTCTTATATACCATTCGATGCACCGTAACGAGCTCTACAAAACCATATATATTTTATCTTGGTTCGAGAAAGTTTTGAAATCCGGCGGGGTCCTTTCAATGTAGAAGATTTTTTTGTGTTAACATCCACCAACAAATTGTTTTTGCCCCTACTATTTGTTCCTTCTTTTAATTTTTACTGCTTACCTTCAGAAATAAATATAAAGAAATGTAATTTCTCCCACTCTGTTGTAATTTTCGCTCCTATAGAAACATGATTGAAAATAAAATATGAAGAGAAAAAAGTAGAACATGTGTCGTAATGTCTGCTCGATTAAATAAAATAAAAATGAATGCCTAAATAAAAAACACATGCTACACATTCGTTGAAAGAAAAGCAAAAAGAAACCGAACGGATAAAACAAAGTTGGCTGGATTTTGTTGGAAGGTATCGATAACGCTGAACATTTAATTGCGAACATATTAGATTTAGAAAGAAAGGAGTAACAAGTTCGTAGAGTATTTTATTAAGGCTGTGATTTTATTGAATAAAAGGTTATTTATTTAAAAAGAACACGATTCCTCTTTAAAAAATTTGACCCTAAAATTCTCGAAAACAATAGAGTCAGGTTACCTAATTCTGCCGGAAAAAAATACCGCTTTCGTAAAACTTGAATAGCTCAAGTTCTCGACATCGTAAAAATCTTAATTTTAGTTTCCGGAGTAGCCTAAACATTTCTCTATCGATTGATATGCAATTGATTGAAAAACAATGAGTAGACGTTGAGTAAAAAGCGTCACAATAGCAGGGGGGGACAGTTTTCAGCCAATTCTTCTCTGATTTTTGAGGGTGTGGGTATGGTGTGGGTGTGGGTGCGATTGAAGAGAAGACTAGCACTCACATCGATAACCACACCAACCCACACCCACGCCCACACTCACACCCACACACCTACACCCTTGAACATCAAAATGTTGCTTTCGATCCAATGTCAAAGGTGCCTGGGTCTTACAGTTTAGTGAATTAGATAGATGATAAAACAAGATGTCAGTCAATTTTTTAGCTTATAAGACTATTTTTTCAGTTGTAATAGCTAAAAGAATTTCAAATCGATATTGTCATATACAATACAAAAATACAAATACTTTTTATTCGTATCATTGTGGATAAATTTGAATAGATTCAGAACACATTTAGTCATTCAAACAAATAAAAATAATTTTTAATTAGCTTTTATTATCACAATTAGCGAGAATATAAATACAAGAAAAATGTTCAAAAATAATTAACTAAATCTGAACTTTTATCTTTTTCCTTAGTAATTTTACTATTATTATGCAGATTTTTCGGACTATCAGTTGTACTCGTCGACTTGTCATCAACAATAAATCTTGGATTGAATGCAATGGCACCTTTTGGAATAAAAGTAGAAGCAAATACTATCACTGAAATGACAGTCATTTGAACAGCAACCGTATTCATAAATGCTGGTCTTATTGTTCCATTCAACGTATAGACACTATCAAGGTATCTTCCAAGAAATGGATTTAAAATTGCATAAATAGTAATATATGATGAATATAAAAATGCTGCAACTGCACCTAATGCTGATATATTCTTATGTTGTAATTCTAAACCACTTAAAGATGATTGAATAAATGAATTAAGTGCAATATCATCAGCAGCAGATGCAAAACCAATTGGAAGATATGTTGCAGCAATAATCCAAGCATGTGTAACATTATTCATAGGTGGATAATAATATGGAATATACCAAACAATAAGTAATACTAATGCATCTAATCGAGACCATGGAAGAGGTGTTTTAATATAATTTCCAATAATAAATATAAATAACGCACCAAGTAATTCACCTAAATTTGAACCACCAACAATAATTTGTGACCATTCTGAATGACCAAAATATCGTTTAGCTATTTGTGGAGCAATACCATTTTCAATATAACGATGTGCATAAAGTGTCAATGTATAACAACTCCATAACCAAACAAATTTTCGATGAGTAAATATAATTTTTGCACCAATAAAAATCGATTGTCCAAAAAGAACAAATCCTTGAAGAACTGATTTAAAATAATTTGATTCATTCGTTGACATGACTTCATCCTTGGAATCATTTATCGTCAATCCAAATGAACTAATAAAAAGCCAAATAATTCCAGCTGCTGTAAAAAAGATTGGTGTAATAATAAATGCATAATTATTGCCTAGGCGAGGAATCAAACCAAGACCTGTAGCAAATGCTCCACTGACACCAGCTATTTCATAAAAAATATGAACTAATGCATCCATTTTTTGTAATTTTTCACCATTGTCTCCAACAATATCTCTCGGAATAACTCGTCGAATTAATTCAACCATTCCATAAGCAATACCGGTTACACAATAAATTGGTATGATGCCATTTGTATTATATTTACCATAATAACTATAAGTGTCATTATTTGTTGGTACAAAATTCGATGGCTTGATATGTCCACCAGTTGCTGCATCAACAATTAGAAGAATAGCAGAAAATAAGGCAAAAAGAAATATTGAAATTGATAAAACAGTACGTGTTGGCCAATGTTTAGTAAGAGGAACAACAAGTATTGACCCAATACATTGAAATGCTTGATTAAGACCAGATATTAATCCAACTCGCTCAAATGCATTTGAAGGTATTCCACGATGAGATGCATCATAATCATAACGATTTGTAGCAAGTGTAACAATAGATCCATTGAATGCTTCTAATCCAAATTTATAAAGCATTATTCCAATAATATAAATCATGATATTTCGTTTTTCTTTAGCAGAAAATAATCTTCCTATTTGCGTAAGTCCAACCCTTCCGGAACCCATTTGATAATTATTGAAATAAGAGAAAGATAAAATATCTTTCTGTTATGCAGTGGAAAATGGTGATAAACTGTTTCTACAAAAGAAAAAAAACACTGTCTTCGTAATCTCTGCTAGATTAAAATGAAAACGTGATAGAGCCTATATAATAGCAAAGATCAAAATGGTGGCATTAAGCAAGCAAGCACGCGCCCATAAAATTTCTAAAAGGGTGTAGAGTCACTAATCTCTCCTCTGTGCCATACTCCCTTGATGACGATTAAATGTACTCAGCGCTCTACGACAGGGTCAAAAAACATCATCTTGCTTGTGCAACTAGAATGGGAATTTACTTCACTTACTATTCACTTCAAACACTTAGAAACATTCCTATTTAACAGGATAGCAATGTCAATCAGTTCGATTAGAGTCTTCTTACAATACACAGAAAGATAAATCACTATACTAATTAGTTGATGTTGAATCTACTAGCGAAATAGAAGAAAACGAAGTCTCGTAGTTCTCTAAAAATATCTTAGCAAACAGTACTGCTTCATTTATATACATATATATATTCGACCGAAAATGCCGTTATAAAAATCATGACCTTTTAAACTTCTGTTCTGTTTTTGATGAATATACACATATTAATCATTCAAAGCTATTTCGAGAATATTACGAAAGAAAACTAATAATACCTTACTCAATAGTACTTTTAAATAGTAGATACAAAAAATAATCATATTTACTCATGTCTTTAAACAAAAAAGGACAGTAAAAATCCTAGGCAAAAAAAACATTCTGCAGTATACTACGGCTGAATAACAACACTAATCAATTATTATCTGCTAATGCTTCTGCAATTTTAAGCAAAAAAAAGCACCTAAATACGTTATTCCTCGATGTTCAGTAGATAACACTTCAAAGGTCTCAGATTCTTATTATTCCTGTGCAAACTTTTAACGCTTGAAGATGTTTTCTATGTGATCGAATATGACTCATTAATCCCTTTTTGAATAATATTTTATCGAATGCTGATTATTCCGTATTACTACCGGTGCTCAGTCTCTGTTTTTGACTGTTGTTACAAATAAAAATGAAGCAAAATATTTACGTAATATATTCTCTTTTTAACTTGAAATGCTTAGTACTTGCTCTTTAATATACGATGAAGATCTTATCTGAGAACAAACCATTCTTTGAAATACTATGGTAATTAATCTACATTGGTTTTTACTTTCATAGGTAACCGCTATAGATTATTTAGAAGTCATAAAACGAAAATAACGACCTATTTTTGTGTTGAAAACCAAACAGTTTTTTCGGAAGTCAGTAACTGAGCTCGGCAATCAATTCCCATTCAACATGATCCATCATAATAGGTGCAGCCTATGACTACAAACAACATGCGTTTACGTAATGTTAAGTGGACCCGTTACCATGTGAAAGGTCAAAATACAATATGACTATACTAGTATGATTTCGAGCCACATCAAACTTAAGAGAAATAAAGGAATTCAATAACACTGCAAGTATAACTTTTCGAAAATCATTTTTGTAGACCGTCTATGAATTAGATTTAAGTGAAGAATATTTTTACAAATAATTAATTAAAAATCTCTACATTCAAAATACGCTAATTATTTTACACGTAGGGTGTGGGTGTGGGTGAATAAAAGACCTACACCCCACACCCACACTCACACCCAAGGTTCGTAAGTGATGATTCTTCTCCTGCATTCATAGAAGATTCTTTCAAGTTTTCGAACAGCTGTGGAACGTTTTCGAATTTTGCAACAAAAAATTTTTCGAATATGATCGTTCTTGATATTAAACTTTTCTGTGTTTAACACTGTTCGTGCTGATCATTCTGTGTACTCAAGTTTTCTATGGTGAACTTTCCATGCTTAATTTTCCGATTACCGGCAGCCGTGTAGCCACGAGTACGGATCGGAGATGCTTATCTTTTAATCAGTCCGTATTCTTATTACAATCTCCAAATGCAAAATCCGTTTCTCACAGTATACCTTCGTTGTTCTCTGTAAATGGTCGTTTTCGGGCGTAGGTATTCGACCTGGGTTAACATATTTAGTGCTAATATAATCGAGCTGTAGGAACACTCAGTTCCACATTTCAGCGCACTAAAGACTATGTTGAACGTATTTTCAATGCTTTAATGTTTGATATTTATGCATCGTGTTTCTCCTTTATAATGCACACATATATTCAGACATGTTCATATCAATCTATCAGATCAGCGGCGTAGCCAAGGGAGGGGCAAATGGGCAATTGCCCATTTCATTTGGAGATTTGCCCATTGTAATTTTTATTAGTAAGTTTTTGCTCATTGAAATTTCACGTTTTCAGAGTTGTTTATTCATTTTTGAATTAGATAATAACTCTACTATTTTTCCTCCGTCTGAATCACACATGCGCTCCTTGCTTGTTCTTCCTGTGAAAAATTAAGAAAAGAAGAAGAAAAAACAATCGTTTCTGCTATTTTAATCAGAGTTGCCCGATGAAAACTTAAAAATCAGAACTTTTTCTCCGAAATCGGAAACTAATCAGAAAGAGTAACTTTTTGCAAACAAAGGGCTATCATGTTGACATACTTGCACAAAATGCCTCACTTTTTTGTTAATCGACTCATACTTTATTCCCAAAAGTGTTTCATAGCAAACAAAGACAATACAAACATTATATAGCTTAGAGTAAAAGATTGTGTACTGTAAGCTAAGGAGATTGATCATAGTCGGATCAAATGAATGCTCTCATTGTCAAGTCAACCAATTAAAAATATGAGCTGCCAATAGCATACACAGACCGAGATATTTGAGTTTCAAGAAATGTACAGTTTGTTATGTGTCCATACTACGAAATTTCATCAACAATTAGTTTTCTTTTTTCGTCATGGTTGGATGGAGCACGACCATTTACATAAGAAAAAACAATATCACGCATATTAAAAAGCAAAATCTACGAAGTCTAAGACAATTTTTTTTAATTATAAGTGTAATAAACAAAAAATTCTAATTGCTGTCAAATTGCTTTTGAATATGTGTGATATTTCTTCTTCTTATGTAAATTGTCGTGTTCCATCCATCCATGACGAAAAAAAACTAAGGGCTGATGAAATTTCGTAGTATGGAAACATAGCAAACTGTATATATCTTCAAATTTAAACATCTTGGTCTGTGCACACTATTGGCAGCTCATGTTTTAAACTAGTTGGCCTGTGAGTGAGAGCATTCATTTGATTCGACTTTGAACAATCTCTTTAGTTTGCAGTTACATGGCCTTCAATTGTTAGTTAATACAAAAAAGAGCTAGCAAAGACACCTGGTGTCGGATTCTTTTACGAAAACCCAAAACTCTGTTTACGAAAAATATGCGCAAACAAACCATATATAAACTATCCAGATCAAAAAATCTTACGAAAAATAATAAGGGTTATAGAACATAAATTCCATATTATTTTTCAAGTTTTCCTTTTTTTGAAATTCCTTCCATAAATGTTTTTGAGCTAAAATATGTTTACAAAATCGTTCAAAAAAATAATTTGCATTCATTCTTTAGTTCAGCAACGCAAAAATTTACCGATATATTAAAGTATTCATCAGTGGTTGCAAAACTCAGAAACTACCAAAGATTAAGAAAGCAAAGAAAGTAGCACAATACGGATCTATAATATAAATGAGTTATAGTTATAATTAATTTCACTAGTAAAGTCGCCATTTAAAAACGTTTGGAATCGGCAACAAATCAGACAAAAGTACCTAAATCAGAAAAATCAGAAGGTCAGAAAAAATCGAAAAAATGTTCAAATTTCAGAAACTTTCCTGACTCTTCAGAAGATCTGGCAACCCTGATTTTAACTGTAAGTTTGAGTGAACATGAGTTCGGTTTTATTGGAAAAACACTAACAACGTAAAGGTAGAGAAGGATAGATCATAGAGAAGAGAAACAAGAGCACAGATCAAGAGAGCACATAGGAACATTTATATGTGTAGATATATACATATAGAGTGACGCATAGAAGAGAAAGGAAAAATTCAATGACGTATATGTGGAGACATAAAGGAAAAAACCAACATGTGAAATGACCTAGTTCATAGGGAAAATGTCCATGTGTGCTGCACACATACATATTGGAAGAATTCTGAACATTAACTTATGCATGTATTTTTTACGTTATTAGTACTTTGTTGGACCAAAAACGTTTTGGCCTATCAATAAAAACCTTGCCCATTTCGTCCACCGGTCTTTTTCGACACAAGAGAAGTTTGCTCATTGATCTAAAAATCCTGGTTACGCCGCTGCTTGTATATGATCTGAAATTCTTGCAATGATTGAATGGGTATTCATCGAGAAACATTAATTATCCTGAAAAGTACACCCTCACAACTGATAGTGAAAAACATACTTCTCAGGATAGTTAGTGTTTCTCGATGAATACCCATTCAATCATTGCAAGAATTTCAGATCATATACAAGTTTTGTTGCTCTATGAAACTATAGAAAAATCAGATCAAAAGTATGCATTCAAAAGTTTTCGAAATTTCATACTGACCAGGAGTCTAAAAAGACATATAACTTGTGAAAGCTATAACTCTGTCAAAGCAAGTTGATTGTCCAAGAAAATTTCAGGCTATACGCAGTTTCATTTGCTTTACAAAATGGCTAAAAAATCGGTACCTTGGAGAGAGGGGCTACCCCCATCCTTAACATTAATATTGTCCAGTCGCAAAAAAGGACCTTCGGACAAACTTAGGGAAACGGTGAGATAAAGAAGCATTTTCGACACTTTGATTATGTAATTTTATAGATCCATAGTGTGTGTATTTTGTGTAAAAAAAATAGAAACAAAACAGGAGTAGAACAAGAGAAATGTGAATTTCAATCTTGTGCAAAAACTTTTCGATCACCCGTTATTAGCCCGTAAAAAAAATATCATATGACACATACAATTCTCGCTTTTGTTTGTGTTAGTGTTGTACATTGATCGCCATTTATATTAAACTGAGCATATCCGAAATAATTAGTTATTTCTTTTTTATATCGTATGTTGACAAAAAAATAAATAAAAAAGAAGCCTTGGACATTGTTTTAATAAAAATGAAAATCATATAAGTAAACCAATGCTTTGGAAATATCTACGAAGTACATATTTGAGTTAGTGAAAATCTTCATATAATATTTTTCTCAAGTTGATTGTATGCTTTTGATCTTGAGAGTTATAAAAATGATCAATAGTTATTTTTTATTTAAAAATAGAAAAGTTTTTCTTTTAATAAATACCTTCTTGTAAAACATTGTGGAAAATTATATCAAAATCTAAAATGTATTTTGCGAAGTTAGAAGAATTTTTTGTTTGTTGGTTTCATTATTTAGTTATATATGTTTACACCATTGTGGTTGTCTTTATATCTCACGATTAACGATTCGCAAATTTGCTGAGCATAAAACACCTCCTATGGGAACGTATTATGTTAGAGAAGTCAACGAGTGGAAAAAATGTGGTGAACTTAATTTTATGGATTGCTTTGTCTACAATATCTTGCTTTTATTCGTCGTGCTACAATCTTCATCAATAGCAATAAAAGCATGTGTAATATTTGAGTGTATAGTAAGTGTTCAAATCAGTCTATTACTCACGTATTGGCTGCAATACTTAGTTAATATATACGTGGTGTCTGGAATATCATTACCAGTTATCATGGTTTCAGTATATATTTTCCTTTTTGATGTTATTATGCTGAATTTTAATTAATGTGTTGAACTCTAATTATTCATCATTTCAAACTCAAGAAAATTTATTATATGAAAGAGAAGTTAGTAAAAGATTTGATTATCTTCTGCTTACATTCACTCCTGACATTGCAAAAATTGCTCAAATCTCTTCTTCTAAGGAGTGTGAGTGTGGATATGATCTTCTATTAATATTACTCACCCACACCCATACCTACACCGACAAACAAAACTGAGCACATAAGCACACTTTTAACATTCATAAACCAAATAATGTCCGTATCATTTTAAAAGTGTTAGTGTTGGTATCGAAAAGCAAGATACATATTGTAATTCAGAATTCGATGAGCTACTGACGTTAGCGACCACTTTCAATATAGAGTATAGGATACTATCAAATGAAAATATTTCGTTTTCTCCTTTCATTGTGATTGCTGTACCATAGTGTCTAAATTTCGTTGAATTCTGTTAGCGTCAGTGATGATACATACTGACGCTAAACGGAGATTAAGTTGGTCCTTCTAGTCTAACTGGATTAGGACATCTGCCCGGACAGCAGAAGGTGTGGGTTCGAGTCCCACGAAGGTCATCTTTTTCATCGTTCTGTCACATAACATCAGTGACACTGCTTGTCTCTTTCGTTCTATACATATGAGAGCTAACAAATTCCGTGGTCTTTTCTTTTTCCACACAAAACTTTGTAATTATCTTAATTCACAAAATAGAAAATGCATGTTTTTCTTTCGAGTGCAGGTGTAAGTGTGAGTGTGGGGAGGGTGGCTGGGTGGGTGTGGGTGGGTGTGGGTGTGGGTGTGGGTGTGGGTGTGGGNAGAAAAGGAAAAATCCATATAACACTATGTATATATAGATATGAGAAGCAAAGAAAAGCACTATAGCATTGCATAAGGAAAAGTCCCTTGGAAAGTATATAATCTTAATAGGTAAATTCCAAGATGAAAGAATGTCATATGTATCTTGGAAATTACCAACAGTATATTAAGAAGTAAATTGTATGAAGTCTAAGACAGCATGTTTTTAATTATGAGGGTAATAAGCAAAAAATTTTAATTGCTGTCAAATTGCTTTTGAAAGTGTGTGATATTACTTCTCCTTATGTAAATAGTCGTGTTCCATCCAACCATGACGAAAAAAGAAAACTAAAGATTGATGAAATTTTGTAGTGTGGGCATATGACAAACTGCAAATATCTTAAAATTTAAACATTTCTGTCTGTGTACGCTATTGGCAGCTCATGTTTTAAACTAATTGGTCTGTGAGTGAGAGCATTCATTTGATTCGACTGTCACCAATCTCCTTAATTTGCCGTTGCATGGCCTTCAATTGTTAGTTAATACAAAAAAAAACTAGCAAAAGACACCCAGTGTCGGATTCTTTTACGAAGCCCAAAACTCTGTTTACGAAAAATATCCGAAACAAATCATATATATAAACAATGCAGATCAAAAAATCTTACGAAAAATAATCAAGGTTAGAGAACATAAATTCCATATTATTTTTTAAGTTTTTCTTTGTTCAAAATTCCTTCAATAAATGTTTTTGAGCTAAAATATGTTTACAAAATCGTTCAAAAAAAAAATAATTAGCATTCATTCTTAAGTTCAGCAACGTAAAAATTTACTGATATATTAAAGCATTCGTCAGTGGCTACAGAACTCAGAAACTACAAAAGATTAAGAAAGGAAACAAGGTAGTGGAGTACGGATCTATAATATTAATGGATTATACTCGTCATTAATTTCGCTAGTAAAGCCACCATCTAAAAACGTTTGAAATTCGGCAACAAATCAGAAGATCAGAAAAAAAAATCGGAAAAATATTCAAATTTCAGAAGTTTTCCTGACTTTTCAAAAGATCTGACAACCCTGATTTTAACTGTAAGTTTGGGTGAACATGAGTTCGGTTTTATTTGGAAAATACTAACCACGTAAAGGTAGAGAAGGATAGATCAAAGAGAAGAGAAACAAGAGCACAGATCAAGAGAACACACACGAACATATACATGTGTAAATACATGTACATATAGAGTAACATATAGAAGAGAAAGGAAAAATCTAATGATGTATATGTGAAAACATAAAGGAAAACACCAAGATGTGAAATGACGTAGTTCGTAGGGAAAATGTCCATATGTGCTGCACAGATACATATTTGAAGAGTCCTCAACACTAACTTATGCATGTTCTTTTTTACGTTATTAGTACTTTGTTGTAGCGGCGTAACCAGGTTTTAAGGTTGGGGTGGGCTTAGCCCCGAGACCAGTTGAAACCAATTGAAAATTATGACTTTCTTGATCTCTTATACTAGTTATGTAGTTGGTTACTTTTCACTAAATTATATTTGTAAAAAGTTATTTTTCATTATAATAATACCATTAAAAAGAAAAGTAGTATCAGTATCACTATACATTACATTAACATATAAAACAAGAAAAAACAATAACTTACAAAAACCAATAGAAAAGGATAACATAATATCACCTTACGAAAGCAAAATGCGACCATTCTTGTGTGCCTTACTAAATATATCAACTGTTTCTTCTAAATCAATATCAAAATCCCGTTTGACAGCTAGTAATGTAAGATCACTGAGACGCTCGTCACCCATTGAATTTCGACAATATGTTTTGATCAGCTTCATACGAGAAAAACTACGTTCACACGTTGTTGATGAGACAGGTAAACATAAAGCATCTCTCAGTAAAGAAATGGTTGCAGGAAACGCTTCATTCACCGGTTTCAATTCAGTTAATAGATCTTGGATAGTTTTCATTGATGCTTTCTTCTCTCGAATAAAATGCTTAACGACACTGAGTTCATTTTCCAGTTGTTTGAGGTCGACCATAAGATGAGATGCCAATGGTTTAAGAGATTCAATTTCCAAAAACTGCTGATTACTTGGATGAACAGCCGACACACTAGAAAAAAGAAGTATATTTTCGTCATTAAAACGATCATTTAGTTCAATTAATATAGAGTCAATAAGTGAATAAAAAAGTTCATGTCGAAGTTTGTCTTCATTAGAATGAAATGATTCTTGATTTCCCCAATCATTTTGACCAATAGTTGTCGTAAAAACAACCGAATCTTTGAATCTTGAAGGTATCAAAGTTTTTCTTCGAAATCTTGTTGGCTGATTGAGATTAATATTGTGCTTCTTTCCAAAATCAATAACATCATTTAGTAAATGCTCGAATGTTGCTTCATTGCGCATACATTGAACTTGATTGATTATTGATTTAATCAATACTTTTGCGCTGGCATAATCAATAGAGACAGCTGCGAAAAGTGAGAAAGAATTATTGACAGTCATACCAGAAATACAAAGAAGAAAGATTAATCTTACATTTTAACTGATCACTGAGTATCTTGATTGGACCAAGCAACATATGTAGAGTGAACATTGAGACGATAAACAATGGCTCTTGGACTGCTGCTAGGAGTCCTCGAGCATCAATTGCTCTATGTCCTCCCTCATCAATAAGATCAGTCAACGCAGTAATAATAGCTGCATAATTATTCTTAATGGCATCGATGGAAAGTCATCTACTATCCCATCTAGTTTCTGCCCATAGCTTGAGATTTGAAGCTGTATCTAACAGTGAAAAGAAATGGAAAGTAATAGACATAGAATTCAAATAAGTTCTTTGAAAACGTTACTTAATTGAAGTGATAATTGAGCGTGGCGAAAGTACTCGTTGTTGACACTTGACGAAGTAAAATACTGATGTATTTTTGACAAGATTCCCATAAATTCATCCACATAAGACACAACTATGCATACATCACTAATAACTAAGTTGAGACGATGCGTAAAACAATGTATGTACACTCCTCTCGGCATATAATTTTGTCGCATTAAAGTTTGAACGCCAGCATGGCTGCCACTCATGACGCTAGCACTAAAACATAAGCAAAAAGGTTCCGCTTAAAAGATCTTTTCATTGGTAAAGTATACATACCCGTCATAACATTGTCCAACGCAATCTTGAATGGAAATATCATGTTTCATCAAAAACTTAAATAATTTTTCGGACAATGTTTTTGCATCGAATTGGTCAAGTTTTATAAACCCGAAGAAATGCTCGTGTATCTGGTTTTCGGCATCAACATATCGAAGAACAACTGATAATTGTTCTTTACCGCTGATGTCTTTTGACTCGTCAGCCATGAGCACGAATGGTCGATTCTTTATCTGAAGAGTAACATAGAATTGAGTTCTTTCTATGAGCTACGGCTATTCTACAATTACTTACTTCGTTAGAAATTTTTCGTCGTATTTGATCTGCTAGAATTTTCAAAATTTCATTTTGAATTGTTGGAGACAAATAAGTGGCATTTGAATCAGAATCATTTAGGATTTTGTTGACTAGAGGATCTGTTGAAGACGCCCAATGTAATAATTCAATCAAATTGCCACGGTTTTTTGATCTGAAGAGTACAAAAAAGAAATATCATCCTGAAATATTAGAAATAACTTTAAAAAATTCACTTACTCTCCATTTTCCTCATGTCCTCTCAGAGCGATCATCTGTCGAGCACAAAGTAGAACCGTTGAGCAAATTTTCATTAATTTTGCTCGATTTTCTTTGATCAGTTCAGCTCTAGATTTATCAAGCAGATTAATTACGCTTGCGTTTGATTGTAATCGCTTCTTATATTCATCATAGTTTTTTGTTGCTACTATATGAAAACTGCTTTTCACGTGTTGATCGAAGCCACGATCTGTTTCCAATGCTCGTTTCCATCCGTTGAAACCAGTAGTAAAAGCATCACTTTGAAGACGTTTTGTTTGAATTGATATGCCGAAATGCCGGCAATAATAGCAATGAGCAGAGTCATTCTTAATGGAATATTCAAGCCATGGGCGATTGTAATACCATTGAGATTGAAATGAACGATTTTCGTTGTTAACAGGATAAGAGGATAAAACTGGTCGTATTGGTGGATGATCAACAGAAATACTGATATCGCATGATGAAGCATTATAATTCGCAACAATTTGATCTTGTTTCCCTGAAGATGAATCCGAAATAGTCTGTGATTCAATAATGATACTAATAGATGTGTCTAAAGTTGTACAAGTTGAATTTGACGGTTCATCTACTTTCTTTTGTTTCGACCAAAGGCTTTCAAGAGTACCGATGCGTTTATTCGAAGAATCTGTGTGATTGTTTGCCTGCCTCTTCATAATAAATGTTATAAGATGTTTTGATAAAATAATGCAAAGAAAAGTAACAATGTCAAGTGAAAGAAGAGAGAGAGATACGACAGCTGTAATTTTCTTTCTACATAAAATCAATCGCAACATTTTTTCGAACGGACTATTTCTTTTCGTCTGTTCAATAAACTCAATGGTCATCTTGAAAATGTTATTATCGCTTAGACAGACGATGATCATTTATTCGCATGGAATGTAGACAACATAGATCAACAGAACAGAATTGTTCTTTTTTCTTTCCTGTCAATTGTGGTTGACTGGAAATGACTCGTACATCTTTTTTTCTTGAACAAGAGTTTATTCCAAAATACTATAATAGCATTCGATAATAAATGGTATGCAAATATTTCTGGGG